ATGCTGACGTCCATCTGAGCCAGCAGCTGGGCTCGTGTCTCGCTCCAGCGGTCATTCTCTGGAAGCATCGACACCTAAAACACGGCATGCTTTATTAAAAAAAAAACAAACAAACAATCCCAGCAGAAATACGTACAATATTGCAAAACTGTAACAAAAGCTCACATGGCCCAGAGTTGGTCCTCGAGGCATGATAGTAGCCTTATTGATGGGCATTGCATCTTTGGTGTAATAGGCAACAATGGCATGGCCGGACTCGTGGTATGCGGTAATGGTCTTATTCTTCTTGTCAATTTCAACACTCCGCCTCTCAGGGCCTGAAATGTGAAATGGAAACATAAAGAAATAATCATGATGGTGTTCCTGTCTCCTCACTTAATAATGTACAGGTGATCAGTGTAATGTGAAATGTAGTGCTGTGGGCTGCACCGTGATCACTCATTTACCCATGAGGATCTTGTCCTTAGCGAACTCCAGGTCCTTCATTGTGACCATCTCTTTCCCGTCCACTGCTGCCTTCAGGGCTGCCTGGTTGACCAGGTTCTCGAGCTCTGCCCCCGAGAAGCCCACTGTGCCTCGGGCAATAATCTCTGCATCAACGGCTGGGAAAAAAACCAACAGTGTTTGTAAAGGTGATCAAAGACAATGGTGTCATTTAGAGAAACACAAACACAGGTTTCTTCTCAGGCTTAGCTCCAGCAGAGAAGGATAATAGGAGAAAAAAAGGATGAGATCAAAAGGTAGTTAGAGATATCCTTAATGTTGTTGAATACTTTACACCCAGACCTACCTGGGTCTACTTTGATCTTGGAGAGGTACCAGTTGAGAATCTCTGTGCGGCCTTTCACATCAGGGCGAGGGACCGTCACCTGCATGTCAAACCTTCCTGGTCGAACCAGAGCGCTAAAGAGTGATGCAAAGCAGCAATAATTAGTACATAGAAGTTTACGTTTAAAACTATCGCAAAACGACACTCAAAATGTCTTACTAATATCTGTAAAACGAACGTGTTTCATCAGAAGCTGCATAACTGCACAATAACTACCTCTGATAGTAAATGCTAAAAAATGGTTTAATTTTACTGTCACTTTACAAAAAACTTAACATGTTTATGGCATACATAAAAAGCACTTCATCCTAAATGTTTACATACTTATCCAACGCTTCAGCAAAGTTTGTAGCACCAACAACAATGACTCCTTCATTTGGTTTAAATCTGTAAAAGAGCAAAACGAAACATTGGCAACTGTAAATTTAAGGTATCTACACCACTTATCACACTATTCAGTTTAACTAACACTGACCCATCCATTTCAGCCAGCAGCTGGTTGATGGTTTGTCTGGAGTAAGGATGCATAGGGGACTCTATTCTCTTTCCACCAACGCTGTCCAGCTCATCAATGAAGATGACACAGGGAGCATTGGCTTTTGCCTCTTCTGCAAAACACAAAAATAGAGGTTATATTTGTTTTTAAAATACAATTTTAAGTGTAACTAAACTTTCTCACATCCAATAAACTTACTGAAAAGGTTCCTGATTCGGCTCGCACCAACGCCCACGAACATCTCATCAAACTCCGACCCGGAGGCGTAGTAAAAAGGAACATCGGCCTCTCCGGCCACGGCTCGTGCCAACAGAGTCTTTCCTGTGCCTGGGGGACCAACAAGCAGGATCCCTGAGGAGACCCAAACAGAAACACATAAGAAAAAACCCAAAAAACCCCAAAAAACCCCACCCTATTCAATTCACTGAATTTTCTTAATGATCAGAAAAAGTGATGAAAAGAATTAGCAGCATCAATACCTTTTGGCAGCTTTCCACCCAAAACGGTAAATTTCTGTGGGTTTTTCAGAAACTCAACAACATCTTGCAGTTCGCTCTTTGCCTCCTCCACTCCTTTGACATGCTCAAATGTCACATTCTTCATCTGGATGGGGTCGACTGCAGAGTCAAGACCGGATGTGGTGCGGAACCTCACTACGAGATCCCCAAAATAATCAGTTCAATAAATACATATTTTCAATGTCTGACAGTAACAGCTGCTTCCTGCAGCACACATTTATTTTCTACCAGTTATTCATAAAGCACGAACACAGTAATTAAATAAAAGAATAGTTTGTATAGATATTTATATGTTAAAGCACAGTATCATGCACCAAAATAATCTGTCAAACCCTACATGCGCACTAGATTATTGTAATAAATACATAAATATATATATATGAATATTTAAGCTGAAAATTTGGTGAACATTAAGTGAAACACTCCTTTTCTAATGCTTTTGCACCCTTGGAAGGTGTAAATCAGCAGGCAGTGTGCATATAGGATTATGATTTCATTTGAAAGCTTAAGAAAGAATGAAGACTGAAACAAACCAGCATCAGAAAAGGGGCCTTTACCGGAGAGAAACGGGGTTCTTGAGAGGCCATAAATACCAATGAGGAGGAGTACCAAGAGGATCAACCTGGTTCTCCTCAGTGAGTCTGTAAAACATAACAGACAAAAAAACAAAACAAAAAAAACAAATCAGCCAATCTTCATCTTTGTACTCAGCTCATCACTGCCACCAACTGTTATAATGAAAAACAGGTAACTGTGTCTTTGTCTGGACCACATGCCTTGTGTTCTCCGAGTAAAAGCTTGAGACCTCATGAACCCCTCAGTGAAACCCGTCTTGAAAGCCTCCTGCTGGTTTTCTGGAAGGTTTTTTTGTTGTATCACTTGGTCCAAAGACTGTGCCTCGACTCCTTTTTCTTTCAAGAGCAATCCCTGAGAGGGAAAAAAAAGTAGACATGGTAAATCTGCTTTCCCCCTCATTTAAATGTGTGCTTCAAATAGCAACTCAAAATCTGCAATGACTTGGTCAAGTTGTCGACAGAGCTAAAGGGTCAAAGTACTGTAAATCCCGGACTACAGAGCGCACCTGATTAAAAGCCGCATGCT